ATTATATTATATTATATTATATTATATCATATCATATCATATTATATTATATTATATTAATTATATTATATTATATTATATTATATTATATTATATTATATTATATTATATTATATTAATTATATTATATTATATTATATTATATTATATTATATTATATTATATTATATTATATTATATTATATTATATTATTCATTCATTCATTCATTCATTTTCTTGTCGGCTTAGTCCCTTTATTAATCCGGGGTCACCACAGCAGAATGAACCGCCAACTTATCCAGCAAGTTTTTATGCAGCAGATGCCCTTCCAGCAGCAACCCATCTCTGGAAAACATCCCAACACACATTCACACACACACACTTACACTACGGCCAATTTAGCCTACCCAATTCACCTGTACCGCATGTCTTTGGACTGTGGGGGAAACTGGAGCACCCGGAGGAAACCCACGCGAACGCAGGGAGAACATGCAAACTCCACACAGAAACGCCAACTGAGCCAAGGCTTGACCCAGCGACCTCCTTGCTGTGAGGCAACAACACTACCTACTGTGCCACTGCTTCGCCCCTATATTATATTATATTATATTATATTATATTATATTATATTATATTATATTATATTATATTATATTATATTATATTATATCAATTATATTATATTATATTATATTATATTATATTATATCAATTATATTAAATTATATTATATTAATTATATTATATTTTATTTTATTATATTATATTATATTATATTATATTATATTATATTATATTATATTATATTATATTATATTATATTATATTATATCAATTATTATATTATATTATATTATATTATATTATATTATATTATATTATATTATATTATATTATATTATATTATATTATATTATATTATACTGGAATACTGGATGCTGAAAATGTAAACGGTTTCACAGTAATGAATTGTATATTCAAATATATTCAATAAAAAACTGATATTCTAAATAATATTAATAATTAAAGTTATTACAGTATTTATAATCAAATAAATGCAGCCTTTATGCTAATAAGACTTCTTTCAAAGCATCAAACTATTAGTTTTGAATGGTGGAACATTTAATTTGAGACATATCTTTACTCATCTTTACTCTTTTAGAACACTTCACTTTTCATGTGCGTGCTGCGTTGAGAGAAATGCTGAAATATTTGTTAGATCAAGATTCCCATTTGAAAAGAAGCAGGAGGCGAGAGAGAGTGTGCATGTGTGTGTGTGTGTGTGTGTGTGCATGACATTCAGTGATAAATATACATATACAGACTTAACACTTTCACTCGCATTTGCACACTCCCACACACACGGGTGTTCTCTCTGGCACACACACACACACACACACACACACACACACACACACACACACACACACACACACACACACAAGAACAAACACAACAGAAAGTGCACAGAGAAAGGGGAATTAAGCTGAAATGGGATTTAATGCCTTGTAATGTAGAGAGGAAAAAATAGCAACAAACTGAAGTGAAGTTTAAGTGTGTGTGTGTGTGTGTGTGTGTGTGTGTGTGTGTGTGTGTGTGTGTGTGTATGTGTTTGTGTATGAGTAATACTAAGCAATGGGTGCCAAAAGGACTCGGTGTGTGTGTTTTCTTTGGTTTTTCTCCAATTATGAGCCATCCCTGCTCTGTTATCACTTTCTCCTGCAATTTCTCACCTCTTCATGTTATTTTCATCCCTCTTTCATCTTTCTGGTGATGGATCGAAGCAGTTGAGGTGTTGCTAATTTAATAGTTGAGGAACGCTTACAGAAGACGTGATATGATGTGGGACTGTAGAAATGTGTCGACGTTGATGGCGGTATTTCTCCTATGGCTATTTGTGGACGGGACTGCTTTACGTTATTTACACATTAAGGGTTGCGGAGGAATGTGAAAATACAAAAGCAGGACGTGACCCGAGTGGGGCGAGATGAGGGGGAAAAGATACTTCATGAAGGAGTTGTGAAGCTGAGATTAGTTAAAAGTGTTGTTTAAAGGTGTGGGAATGGTTTGCGGAGCTTATTTATAATATTGCTTGAATCATTTTTAAGTTCACTATCAATTTTTAAAAGCGTTTGGTCTAGGCCTGTCACAATAATCAATATATCAATTGTCACACAACACATGGACATGACCTCAGTCATTTTTGGTGGTGCATTTACCGGCCACTTTATTAGGTACACCTTACTAGTACCGGGTTGGACTCCCTTTTGGCTCCGAAACTGCCTTAATCCTTCGCGGGATAGATTCAACAAGGGACTGGAAATATTACTAAGCGATTTTGCTCCATGATAGCATCACAATAACATCCCAAAGTGCTCTATTGGATTGAGATTTTAAGCCTCTAGGTTCAATGTGTTGTAGGTTAAGAGATGATCTTCTGCACACCTCAGATGTGTTATTTGAGTTACTGTTGCCTTTCTATCAGCTCAAACCTGATACCTCTGGCATCAACAAGGCATTTGCGCCCACAGAACCGCCGCTCACTGGATATTGTCTCTTTTTCGGACCATTCTCTGTATACCCTAGAGATGGTTGTGCGTGAAAATCCCAGTAGATCAGCAGTTTCTGAAATACACAGACCAGCCTGTCTAGCGTCCATAACCATGCCACATTCAAAGTCACTTAAATGACCTTTCTTCACCATTCTGATGCTCAGTTTGAACTGCAGCAGATCGTCTTGAGCATGTCTACAGACCTAAATGCATTGAGTTGCTGCAATGTGATTGGCTGATTAGAAATTTGCGTAAATGAGCAGTTGGTGTACCTAATAAAGTGGCCGGTGAGTGTACATCACCCACCCATACAAAAAAAAAAAAAAAAACAATTCTAGCAACATTTTAGCTGTGTGCGCAACATGTCTATCTCTATTGGAGGTGTCAGTGTGGTTAAAAAAACACTGTAGTGTTTACTATAAGGGATTTTAGTATATTTTGCCGGCAGTTAGCTCTCTGGAACTCTCACATGGTCGCCCACTGAAGCTAAGCAGGGCTGTGCCCGGTCAGTACCTGGATGGGAGACCACATGGGAAAGCTAGGTTGCTGCCGGAAGTGGTGTTAGTGAGGCCAGCAGGGGGCGCTCAACCTGTGGTCTATGTGGGTCCTAATGCCCCAGTATAGTGACGGGGACTCTATAATGCTCAGTGAGCGCCATCTTTCGGATGAGACGTTAAACCGAGGTCCCGACACTTTGTGGTCGTTAAAACTCCCAGGATGTCCTTCAAATAAGAGTAGGGGTTTAACCCCGGCATCCTTGCCAAATCTGCCCACTGGCCTCTCCATCATGGCCTCCTAACCCTCCCCATATCATGTTTCTAAACCCCCCCCATTGTGTAAAGTGCTTTGAGTGCCCAGAAAAGCGCTATATAAATGTAAGGAATTATTATTATTATTATTTTCATGTGTTTGTCTGACTACTGAAAGTAAGTCTGGTAGCAGATATCGCAGCCTCTCTTACTTTATACCTTGCACTTTTTAGTTAACTTTTATTATTATTTGTTTAGGATATGCGTTTTCACATTCTGATTCCAATGCCTGATTATTAAATTGTTAAAATGACTGTAATTAAAGGAAATATGCTTAAGAATTAAATATAATGTGTTCTATGGAAGAATGTATTTGCATTGTAATGATATTATATTGTCATACTGGCATTATATATAGAGAGTGGGATAAAATAAATCTTAATCTTGATCTTAAAAATTACGATGATATTATCACAATATATTTGGGTGCAATATATCGTACAACTAAACATATATATTGTGACAGGCCTAGTTTGGTCTTTTTACGCAAGAGTGATTTTTATTTGAAGTAGATTTTGTACTGATAAAACTTGTTTAACTTAACTGTTTCAGTTTTACCTTGTAAAGTTTCTTTTATATCTTGCATCTTGTTTAAGTTGTAAATCTGTATTTATACAGCCTTTTGTTAGTGTTATTATTAATTAAAAATTATTCATATTAATGTAACTTTTACTTTTTAAGTTTCACTTTTATATTTGCTCTATCATGTTTATATTTGACTGTAGTTTTTTTATTATATGAATTACATTTCACTTCCATAAAAATCATCCAATTCAATCTAAAGTAATAGTGAATTTGGTGAAATTACATTTATGTGACATATTATATTATATTATTTAATATTATATTATTTAATATTATATTATATTATATTATATTATATTATATTATATTATATTATATTATATTATATTAGAGGGAAAGAAAATTTCTTATTAAAGTAAAGATGATCTAAAAAGTAAACTTACATATATTTAATAATAAATATAAAATAAATGTTTAAAAATTCTGCAGACTTTTGAAAAAATATGAACTATATTTCATGCAATACTTAAATATTTTAATAAATGTATTAAGTTCTAAATCTTTGATTATTTATTCAGTATTTAATTATTCTTCAGTATTTATTTTAGATTATCTAATGACTACATTTCCAAATATTTATTAAAATGAACATTTTGTTAAAAAAATCTAATATGATAAAACATATTTAATCAAATTTACCAGATTTTCCAAAAAATTCATTCATTACTGTTACAATTCCACCTAAAATACAGCATATACTTTCATCATTAGCCTTCCTGAATTAGTAAACTAAAAATAAAAACTTTTTATTCTAGCCAAAGTAAAACAAATAAGACTTTCTCCAGAAGAAAAAATATTATAGAAAATACTGTGAAAAAAATCCCTTGCTCTGTTTAACATCATTTGTGAAATATTTGAAAAATATGATGTAAAAAATAACTTTAATCACATTTTCAATCAAACCGCGCACCATTTTGATTCATTCGATCCATCAACATGGCTGGTGTATTAAAATGAATGTCCATCACTGACTAAGAAGACTAGTGCAGTGAGCTAGTTGAGCTAGTGAGCGATTAGCGTGTGATTGGTGTGTGCTGTGCCCTGCTGTTGTTGTTGACGTGTGGTTTCTGGCAGGGCTGTCCTCTCCTGGGTCTCTAAAGAAGCCAGCGGGGAAATTCGATTTCAGCGCCCTGTCAGCACAGACGAGGTCCCCCCGAATGGCCTTCACACACCACCCGCTGCCCATGCTGGCAGGCGTGAGACCAGGTGAGACAGACACACTCCAGCAGAGACAGACAGAACTGTTTAGATCTCAGAGCAGGCTTCTGATTGGTTCAAAATGTGTTATTAGTGCATTACACTAGTTCAAAACTTGCCCTCGGGGGCGCCTGATTGGCTGAGTCATTGATGGAGGCCTTTTGATTGGCTGGGCAGAGAGACAGAGAAAGAGGGAGAGAGAGTGCAGAGCCACAGTTCATGAATGACATCATCCATCCACCAGCCCTCTTTCTCTCTCCATCTTTTCCTCTTCTCTCATCATCATTTCATCCACTTCTTTTTTCCCTCTCTATTTCATAAGTGCGTTTGGTGAATTTACTTTTTCGTCAGACGTGCAATGTAGTTTTTGTTCATATTTATGCTTACATTCAAAGCTAATTATGTTTCATAATTATTATATGCAAATTAGTATATTTTATTATGTAAATTAATATATGTATATTATATATAGTATTGTCTTATGCATATTAGCATAGTTTTATTATGTTTATAAGTATACGTATATTAGTATATGCATATTAGTATATATTAGTATATGTATATTAGTATATGCATATTAGTATATTAGTATATGTATATTAGTATATGCATATTAGTATATTTTATATGTATATTAGTATATGTATATTAGTATATGCATATTAGTATATTAGTATATGTATATTAGTATATTTTATTATATATTAGTATATGTATATTAGTATATGCATATTAGTATATTAATATATGTATATTAGTATATTTTATTATATATTAGTATATGTATATTAGTATATGCATATTAGTATATTAATATATGTATATTAGTATATTTTATTATATATTAGTATATGTATATTAGTATATGCATATTGGTATATTAGTATATGCATATTAGTATATTTTATTATATATTAGTATATGTATATTAGTATATTTTATTTTATTATAGAATATGCATATAAGTATACTTTATTATGTATGTTTGTATATGTATATTAGTATATTATTATATGTGTATGAGTATATGCATATTAGTATATTAACATATGTATATTAGTATATTTTCTCATATATAGTAGTATATGTATATTAGAATATGCATATTATTATATATTAGTATATATATATTAGTATATTTTATTATATATTAGTATACTTTATTATGTATATTTGTACATGTATATTAGTATATTTTTATGTAAATTAATATATGTATGTAAGTATATTTTATACATATAAATATTAGCATATGTATGTCAGTTTAGGAATATTATTATATTTTATTATATATATTAGTATATGCATATTAGTAGATTTTATCATATATAATAGTATATGTATATTAGAATATGCAAATTATTATATATTAGTATATGTATATTAGTATACTTTATTATGAATAATTGTATATGTATATTAGTATTTTTTATGTAAATTAGTATATATATATATATATATATATATATATATATATATATATATATATATATATATATATATATATATATATATATATATATATATATATATATATATATATATATATATATATATATATATATATATATATATATATATATATATATATATATATATATATATATATATATATATATTTATATTTTATATATATATATATAAAAAAAATATATAAAAATAAAATAATTAAATACAAAAATAAAAACTTATAAAATATATATATATATATATATATATATATATATATATATATATATATATATATATATATATATATATATATATATATATATATATATATATATATATATATATATATATATATATATATATATATATATATATATATATATATATATATATATATATATATATATATATATATATATATATATATATATATATATATATATATATATATATATATATATATATATATATATATATATATATATATATATATATATATATATATATATATATATATATATATATATATATATATATATATATATATATATATATATATATATATATATATATATATATATATATATATATATATATATATATATATATATATATATATATATATATATATATATATATAT